CTGCCATATTTGAATTAGAATCTTCATATCAGAGAAAATATTTGACCTTTGGTTTTGGGGGACTGACTTATTTTGCTGAGCATGTTATTCTTCAGCTCCACTCATTTACCTGAAAATGCCATAATCTCATTCTTCTTTGAGGCTGAATATCCCATGGTGAATGTACACCACATTTTCTTGATCCACTCATTTATGCAATAGGCAGGCGAGTAGCAGACAGGTGCAATCAGGGCCCCCTCTGTGAGGCTCCTGTGTGTCCAGCCCCTTTCCACCCCTGCTATGAGACTTCCCACTCCAAGGAGCAGGTCAGGCTAGACTGGCACCCAGGTCCCTGATCAGACTTTGGCCCAGGGGATTCTCTCTGCCCCCTCACTAACAATGCAATCTGCTGCTGGGGTCTCATTTCATGGAGCTCCCTCACTAGATGGTAATCAGAGTTGCCAAGTGAAGCTAGTTGATGATTAGGCCACATATCATCGTGTTCAGAGCTGAAATGATGCCTCTTCTCCATGAAAGGGCATCTCTGTCTGGGGACGTGCTTGTCACTCACAGAGCCAGGATTGTGTGCCCATCGCCCCCTGCTGGCCAAGACACGCCCTGCACTGCACACCATTCAGGGCTCCTCTTTGCCTTCTGGCCACCTGTGGTCAACTCTCTGCATTGGACAAGCATGCAGGGCAGGCTGGTGGGAACAGCCTGTGCTGCACCCCGAGAGGTGGGCAGTAGTAAGTCCAACCCAGCACGTGCTCCCCACAGTAGCGGGACAGAGACTATGTTGCGGACACTGCTCACTGCAGGGCCGTGAGTGCACAGGGGGTGCCCTGAGGATGGAACCCCATGAAGGGGGATGAACAGAGTCATACAGAGCAGTCGCCAGGTGCGTACGCCTGCCATGATGCCAGCTCTGGGCAGAGATGAGTCTGGAGGCTCTGCATCATGGGCCTCTGCTGGGCTGCCTCCCTGTCCTCGTGAAGGCTGGGGACGTCCCTGCAGGTCCCCCCAACCCCCTGCACTGTAATCACACCCCCACTCACTCATGAGAGCGGTAGGGTAAGGTTCTTTGAGGGATGGACCCCAGACCTCTGAAAACCACTGGGCTTCTCAGTGCGGCTCTGCGGTTGAATTCAATGTAATATACATGTTCCTGTTCATTGCCATTTATGTGTTAGTTATCATTAACAGCCATTATAATTTTTTCCCAGCGGCAATTACATTGATATTACTATATCTAAATCAAAGAGGACATTACAGCAATTACTGTCATAAGTTGATTGGGAACCACCTAATTTTTAAGTGACACTATTTTCTTATCAGCGTGATGATTTTCCTTAGCAATAAATAACATGCCAGGAGAGTCGCGCCAGTGGAGTGCACCCAGTCCTGGCAGAGGCCGCCAGGCCAGCTCACACACAGTGTGGTTGGTTTGTTCGTTAACAAAAACAAAAAAAAAAATGTGCTTAGTTTCTCTTCCAGGTGAGAACAGAACTAAGATCTGGAATCTCTGGGCTGTGAACGGTGCCACAGATTCTGAAGCCAGGTTTTGGTTTCATGGGCAGAGGGTGATGGGATTTCCCCGCATCAGATCTACCTCCAGAGCAGGCGAGGAAGCAGGGCTGGAGCAAAGAGGGGGTCGGCAAGACGAGGTGCCTCCACCCACCTCCCTTCCCCGGCAGAGGGTCCCACGTCCAGGGCTGCCAGCCGGCTTTGCCCAGTGGCTGTCTCTGGGGCTTGTCACCCAGAGCGGTGGGGTTTCAGGACAGGTTCTGTAGGTGGCTGCAGACACCAGGCGAGGGGTGTGAGGGGAGGGCACTCTGCCTGATGCCTGTGGCACCTGTGTGCTGGGGCCGGTCACTCTCCTGAGGCAGAGCTCCTGGGCAATTCCCTTGGAGTCGTGATCTGCTTCAGGTCTTTCCCTGAGGGCTGCTTTTCAGTGGCAAGTCCCCTCTCCCAGGGTCTGATGTGGCCCCAGGGAGGGCAATGGGATGGGGCAGGCCCTTGCCCGCAACCTAAGGATCCTCTCCAGCCTATGGATGTCTGTCTACCCTCCGCGGCCTCCTGGTCCTCCTCTCCCTCCCTCCTCCTGCGAGGAGTGAGTGGAACGCCCTGCTCTCTGGACACTGGACTTCTGACCACTCCCTTCTCCTGTCTCAGTACAGATTTCCCCTCAACCCCCCCACCCACTTACACCCTGCGTAAAGCTGACAGCCGTCACCATTCCTCTGGGCCGACTTTCTTAGTCAGACTTGGACCTTTAGCCACTTGGATATCTTCCAGCTGTGTGACAGAGGGGGCTGTATCTCTGACCTCAGTTTCTTCAATGAGTGGAGATGCAGATAGCTCCCCTGGCCACCTACTGAGCACCTGGTGTGTGTAAGGCTTTGTGAGGCCTCAGGTTCACATGACGCTGAAGATCCTGGTGCCCAGCTGAGGCACTGGCCCTGTGACCTCAGTTTCCCTGTCAGTCTCCCCGTCTGCTCCACAGGAGTGCTGACAATGGAAGACCCTCCTCTCGGGGTCCTGGGTGGACTGCAGAAGCTGTTCTGTAAGGCTGCGGGACCAGAGCCTGGCTTACCGTGTGATGTTAAAAGAGGCACCTCCCCCGGCTTTTATTTAAATTGATTACAAGTCGACGTGATAATATTGGGTCTACTGGGCTAAGTGAGGTATGTTAGGAAGGTAACGTTGCCTCTTCTAACATGACTGGTAGAGAAGTTTAAATGGCACACAGGGCTCATGTTAACTCCATGGACAGTGATGGACTAGAATGTTCTGGGGGCCTGATGGAAGGATCTGGGTGCAGGGGGCCCCTCTCTAGAGGCCCCGTCCCAGTGCCCGACCACAGGCCAGGTAGCCTCCCAGGCCCCGGGAGACCTGCAGGCAGGAGACTCGAGCGCTGTACTGGACGCCTGGGCCACCATCCTGTGCAGGCACGTTTCCCTGGTCCCGTGGCGGCCAGAGCCCAGGCCTGGGGCCTTTCCCCTTGCCAACCCTGTCCCATGTCCCACCTCAGGGCACCATCCCTGCTGCCAGGCTCCCAAGGCTCAGAGGACAACTGTGCTGCTGGTTACCCTAAGGAGCTCTCTCCAGGCCGCGTGCACAGCCTGAGACGGGCAGTGGACATGGTGGGATGGCCAGTGGTTGCTGGCGCACCAGCTGGGGGGACAGGAGCAGTTGAGCTGACTTACACACCCAGACGCCGCATGGCCACCACTCCCACGATGGACTAAGGAATTGAGGATGGAAAGTTCTAGTCATAGAATGTTCCAGATCATCAGGAAAATCAAAAGTGCCTTATGCTAGAGAGGTAGTGAGGGGAGAGCCAGTCCAGGGCTTGGTGCTGGCTCTGGGCCTCAGCTTCTCCCCTACAACCTGAAAGAGGCAGGTTACCTCGTCTCCAAGGCCCCCCACGGATCTGTAAGGAAGGGGCATCCTGCACCCCAGGGAGGCGGGGAGGAGGCAGGAGCTGGGAACTCTGCAGGTAGAGAACGTCTCTGGGTCTTCTGGGAAGTAGTGTGAGAACAGTGCCCTTTAAGTCCCCAAACGGCGAGAAACAAGCCCCCAGCCAACGTACCAAAGGGGGCCAGCCCTGAGGCTTTGCTCAGCCTCCCACAGGGACGCGACGGCTGCAGACCCATCTCTAGGCTTTACAATAAACAGGCATCTTGTGTACTTCACTGACAGACAGCCAGCCTGCTCCCCAGCCGAGGGAGAAGAGCCCGGTCGCTGGATTTCCAGAACTTGCCGTGCCCTTGGCGGCCTTTCTGTTTTCCTCATCTCAAGTCTCCCAAACCCCAAGGGCATCACGGTGGGGAGCTGCTCACAGTCCAGAGCCCTCCCCTGGGACCCTCCTTCCACAAGGGAAGAGGGAGAAGCTGGTGGCTTAATGGCAGAGACCCTCTGACAAGTGTGCCCTTGCTTGATCAGATTGCACCCTCAGGCCAGCAGTATGTAGGTAAGAATCTTGCCCAAAGTTGGGGTGCCAGTGGGTGAGAGAGGTGGCATGGGAACTCAGGTCCCCTACCCAGCTCTGTCCCCTGGTGGTGCATGCACGGTTGGAGGAGCCAAGCACGGCAAACGTGGCCTGAAGCATCTCCCTGGAGGCCGAGGGCCCCCTGGTTTGTTCTAAATGGCAGCCCTTCTCATTTCCCCGGGTTTACTCACTCACTCTTTCTCACGCCTTGGGTCAGCTGTCATGCTGAGCATGGTGGCCATGTGCTGGGCATCTCTTGGGACCTTCCTTAGTTCAGCATCACCTCTGACCTGGGGCCCGGACAGTAAAGAGCCTCCAAACTGAGCCCGAGTGCTGGGGATCCTAAGGCTTTTAAAGAAGTCCCGCATTCGGAGGATTCATTTTGGATGGTGCTAACTGGGCACCTTAGATTAATGCCAGGGGAACATTAAAAACTGCTAAGGAAAAAACCTTCTATTTCTTGCACTCACAAACAGGTGGACAACCAGACCTGAATGATCCTTCTTCTTCAGGGTTCCCAGGTGCTCAGATGGGTTCACCTGACTTTTCAGATAAGCAGCCTCAAGTGGAAGAAGCCCACGTGGGTTGCCTGAGCCTGGGGCAGGGAACTCCAGAGAATTGCATGCTAGCTCTCCAAGTGTCCTTTGCAACTGGAGACGAGATAGGCTGAGGCCTGCCACACAGTCCTGCAGCAGTGGACACAGGGTGCTGGGTAGGGGCTTGTGAAAAGCACACATTGATTTACTATTGACTGGTAGGTACTATGCCCCGTGAAGCCTCAGGCATCAAGGTAGCCATGAGATCGGCCCTACCTTCCAGTCTCCAGGGAGACAGAATGTGCACAGACGATTGGGCACCATCGAAGGTGCCAGAAACACAGTATAAGCAAAGTGCTCCTGGAGCCTGGGTGAGTCACTGACCAAGATGTCCTGGCAGGACTGGGAGCCCCATGGACACAGGCTCACAGGGCCAGGTAGGGAACACAGCTGTCTCCCCTTATTGTCTCCATGGCTTTGTTTATGATGTCACTTCCGTGTTCGCCTTGCTGATCCAAGTGGAGCCCCATCCGCAGCCAGCGACCCCGGAGTCTTTCAGATCCCGTGGGGTTCTGCAAAGTCCCCGAGGACCGACTTTTGGAAGAAGTCCTCTGTCCTCCCCACAGCCCAGCACATGAAGGTCAACCTCCCAGAAGGTCAACTTCCGCTCCTCCCCAGCCAGCCTGCCCCCCGCCCCTCTGCCCGGCAGGCTCTGGAGGGACTTGTAGCCATCCTTGTCCCTGCCTCCCATCTGTGGGAGATGGACGGTGGACATGCAGATGGTAGTGCTGTTCTCCTCCTTGCCCCAACCGGGCACCCCGCGGGCCCTACGCGTCCTGGCCCGTCCTGGAGCAGCAGGCTCAGCTAGGTGTCCCAGGAGGCCCAGCTCCTCTCACCCCAGTCAGAACCCTGGCGCTCAGGGGCACCAAGGGTCTGCCCAGCCCCCCACGGAGCCCAGTTCTGTAAACTCTGGGAGTTAGAATCTGCCCACAGCTCCAAGGTGTCCTCGTACATTTGTCCTAGACAGAGAATTCTACTCTCATGGCGATGGGGGCGTAGTAACTAGAAATGGACTAGAATCCTTCCCTTATAGAGGCTGAAGCCCTTTAAATGACTGTGACTCTGGGGGACAGTCTTTAAATCAAGGCCATGTGTGTTGCTGTGTGGTGGGTTCTCGGTGACTTCATCCCAAGGGGACAAACCAGACACTCTCCCTTCCATCAGGATAATTGTGAAATAGTGTGATGGGTCAGGGGCAGGGACCCAACAGAGACCTGCTGGCCTCTATACTCAAGGCTCCTGTACAAGGATGTAATCAGGGACCCGAGCCAGGGTGGCGGGCACTGGCAGGACAGAGTTGGACTCATCAGCAGCAGGAGGCCCTAGGAACGGAGGTCCTGGGACTCTGCCTTCATCTGACACGCAGTGAAGCTGGGGTAGAGGGCCTGCTTGACCAGGCTGCCTGGCCTTGCCCCCTGCCCCAGGCCACCCTGGACAGGACATGGCCGGGCTTCCGAAAGGATGTGCCCCTGAAGAAGCTGAAATGTAACTGTGAAGGGCAGGATTTTCAGTTATGCCAAGCCCTCATTCTGTCACTCACACTTTGGTCGCCTCTGGGCTCCGAGGCACCTGCTGGGCAGCATCTCTAGGACCGCAGTCCCCCAAGGGCAGCGTCATCAAGGACCCCTCCTCTCGAGTGCTGTCCCTGGACCAGCAGCACTGGCGTCCCCGGGAGAGGCAGACTCCCGGCCCCAGACCGCGTTCACTGGGGCCTCGTGTGCACGTTAAGGGTGAGAAGTGCCCCTCCCTAGTGGAGGCCAGTGACGCCCGAGGACCCTCTGCACACCGTCCTCTTCCAGTCGAGTGGTTCTTCTGTGCAGGTCATTTCCCATTTCTGAACCTGGAGTGATTCACCTCTGTCAATGTGTCAGTAAAGAGGTGCCGATGGTGACACTGTGCTCAAATCTGTCAATTTGGGAATCGATTACAAGATATCAGAGTACATGTAGAAGCTGAGACAAGTCTTCTTCAATGATAATGCTCTAATTTTACTACTGTGAGGAGAACAAGCACTTTTGAATAGTCGGGTGACCAGAACTCCGTTGGCTCAGCCTATCCCGCTGATGTGCCAGGGCTGTGATTGTGCAAAACTGACATGGAGCGAAAGCCCTCAAGAAGACGAGTCCATTTCCAATGTAAATCCCAGGACCTGCAGAGGGAGCATATGGCTCTGGTCCCCTGGTGAGCAATGAGGCTTCCTGCCTTGGACCTTGGTGCTGCTCCTGTGAAGTGGTTTCTCACTGTTGAAAGAAGTCACTTCTACCAGGAAAAAGTCTGTTCGTGTAGGTTAAAAATTCACGCTGGTTATGCATGTGTGTGAGGGAGTGGGGACAGAAGTGGCAGAGAGAGACAGGAGTGTTCAGTCGTGGAGTTCTGAAGGGCTTGTTTCTGAGCCTTAATTATGACCTGTTGTTTGCACAGAGTAAGAGTTCTTGTTGCACTCGGGAATGAAACGTCACCCACTGAGGGCTTCTCCACTGGTCTCCTTCACCTTGAAGCACTTCCTAGCACCAGCGAGGGAACCCTCCCCTGATACTGAGCCTGTAAGATTCGGGTGAAACAGCAAATGAGCATTGCAGGTATTTGCTAGGAAGGCTGAGATTATGAGGGCATCACCCCCAGCTTTCAGGGAGCGGAACAAGCAGACAAGGCAGTCGCAGGACAGGAGGCTCTCACCGGGCCTCCGGCTGGACATCACTTGGTGTTGAAGGGCACACTGCTCAGAGGACCGTCTTGGAGCAGTAACACTGAAGCGTGGGTGCTCAGTCCTGAAGCCCATGGAGCTGTTTCTCCTTGGCTTCCAAGGACTGTGCGATATTCAGATGACACGGACTCAATGCCCTGAACACTCCTGTGTGCCGGATTAAAGACATGACCCCACTGTTGTGGTCAGAATCTCAATACTTTTCCTAGGTTGGCCGCCTCCTCCTCCATAAGAGGGTTCATACCAATCACCTGCTGCTGTTCTGCAACACCCTGGGCCACATGTTGAAGGGCCTAGACAGATGGCAAAAGGGACCGTACAGAGGCGGCTCTGTTTACTTGCACATCCACGAGCTCCTTGACCTTGGACAAGGCACCATTCTCTCTGGGTCCCGGTTTCTTCAGAAAATCAATAGAACTAGATTATCTTTTAAAGAGCAAATTTTATTGTTTAAAGGGCAATTAGGTATTCTCACAAAGGCCGGGGAGGGACACAGGTGCCTTCTGGTTCTGGGTTTCTGTGGGAAGGATCTCCAGAGTCAGGCCTGTGGGCACAAGCAAAGTGCTTCCCAGTGGAACGTCTATTCCTGGGCATGTTCTTCCATCTTCCACTGACCAGAGACCTGTCCACGTGAGTCGCTCTGAGACCCTGCCAAGCCCTTCACGTGCAGAGGACGAGGTGCAACACACGCCATCGGTTCCATGGCACACTTTTCTGAGCTCTAAGCGCAAATCCATCTTTCATATTGGAAGCTGCCACCCATCAGCAGGGCGTGTTTTAATTATTATTTTAATTTCAAGTTGGCAGGAAGATGCCGTCAGATAGTGCCCTTCCAGGGAAACTCTGGCTTTGGGGGGCTGTTCAAATCTCTGTGCTTTTGGCTCAGGGCTTCTGAGCACATATGAAGCACATATTGGTTCCCCCAAACTGTCCTCCATGCAGCACTTACCCTGCCACGCAGGGAGAACCACTGCCCATTTCCTGAATGTGCCCAGGTCTCCTGGGATGCGGGACTGCAGGAAGGGAAGGCCTGCGACAGGAAAAAACAGTGTTCCAGGGGTAAATGCCAGACAGCATCCTCCTCAGGTGTCTTGACTCTTGCTGACACACCTCAGGAGGCGCTGGGTGCATACATGATGGAAATACGCCTCTTATTTGTCTTGTTTTCATACCAACTCTACCACCAAAATTTACTTAAACTGATAAACACATTGGTAAAATAGTATTTTTGTGTTTTGTATAAACTTTGGGGGATGCCAACCGTTGCAGATTGCTCCTGGTGACGGCAGTAAGTTCTCATACCAAACATTCCTCTTTTTATGAGTTGAAATAGCACGAGGGCTGAAAGACTGGTAAAAACGGAATTCAAAGTTTTAAGTGGCCACGCCGACAGTCGTGCATTTTGATTTCTGAAACACAATCCTAAATATTTAATTCTACCATCACTGGAAGATTAGTTCTAGAAAATCTAGTTTTCCCAAAACAAAAGAGAACAAACCTAAAACTGCAAAATTAACTAATGAAGTTTGCACAGATAATTGTCTCTAAATAAGCATTATGATAATGAAATATTTACAAGAGAGTGGAAAGCATAAATAAGAGTGATCATGAATTTCTCAAATCGGACCATTTGTATCCCAGTTGTGAGCCACGGGAGGTCAGCCCTCCAAGCTGAGAGTGCATGATGTTTTTCATTGCATTTATTCCGAAACCTGTAGATTGATCATCTGATTTTATAATATCTAAAATGTAGTGTTTCTCCCACATGCACACATGGTAAAGTAATCAATAAAAATATTTTGGTGCCTAGCACCCTGCTCATCTCAAAGGGAACCCTAAGCCCAGGCTCAGCCCCACGAAGGGTTAAAGCATTGCAGGTAAGTTGGTGGCCGTTATCAATGGTCTCCAAATAAAAGCCAGAAACAGGAAGCCAAATTCCAGGTCCCTACGGCATGCCTGTGTCTTAAATGACATCATTTGTCAAGTTTCCAGCATCGTTGGTGGGAACACAACAGAAAGGTCTGCCCTGTGCTGGGGACATCCCCTCAGCTGCCATGCTCCTCAAGTGCCAGATGCTGGGCTCTCGTTTCATGAGCAGCAGCTACTTGTCACTACACTTTCTGTAGACAAACACTGAATGTAATGCTAACGACCATTTATTCCTGAGAAGCTTGGTTCAGATGAATCTTGCAACAATTTATAAAACATACCCCATAAAACTTTTGCTGTCTCTTTTCAAACATTTCCCTGGATATATATAGATATTTTCTAATGCTGATCAGTCAACAAGAATAGTCATTGTCAAAGGGATTGGAAATGATATTGGTATTTTTTGTAGGCAAAAAGGCACCGAAGGAGAAGTCAGAATTGAATGGTAACAGATCACTGGGATGCCGTCGTCTCTCCAGAGCAAGCTCCTGCCATCCTGCCCGGCCAGTGACCTTAAGCCCAACATGCAGAGAAGGCCACACTGAGAACCGAGAAATGATTTATCCACTGCGATTGCTCTGCCCTGGCCCCTTCTCTAAAGCAAAGACTGACAACGGTGCTGAATTATGGATGCACTTTTCATGATATGTAATACAGTTGAGAGGAAAGGTGTTGGGACCCTCACACCATTTCACCTCTCCAAAGAGACTGGGCTTGAACAACAATCCCAGAGGGTGAGACTGATGCTGAACTATGACCCTCAATTTACAAATCATTTTTCAAAAGAATAAAACAAAAGTTTAAACATATTTTTGGCATTATCTGAATAGGCGGAATCTTTCATGCTTGTTTTCTAAGAATAAATGAAAACAGCATGCACCGTAACTTCTCAGTTTGGGGACAGAGAGAACATGAGGTTTTCAGATTATGTTTTATTTTAAACCTGGGTGTTCAGATTTTATTTTTACAGATCTGAATTTAGTATATACCCTCAAAACATAATAAATTTCTATTCTGTAGCTTAAGGGATCCATCAGATAAAATGTTGGTCTTTCATCTTTATTACTCTCCTATTAAAATGAAAGAAACCGGGACTCACTTCAGTTTAGAAGAAGCAATTTAGTTGGTAATGTCCTCAGTCAAGTCCTTACAGAGGGAGAAAGTGCATTATTGCTTAGATTTCACACATCTATCTGCATAAGAAGCAACTAAGCCTTTCAGACACATACTATGTTAAATTTAATAATATTCTTTGATTAGATTATTTTATTACAAAATTTTTCCATTACCAGTCACTTCCTGTGCGCAGTTAGATTCATAAAACCTGTTTCCCCTGCTTTGTTTGTTTGCGCACTCAAGAGCAAGGCAAAGTCTCTTTCTGTTTTGCCACAGCTGTTAGGTCTGAGAGGGACAGATTAATAACTAAGCACCACATTGGACGAGCTTTCTTGTCCCCTGCACCAGGAGCCCTTTGCTATGATGAGGACACAAAGAGCCTCGCATCAGGCCGCTACCCTTCTTCATAACTCAAAAGCGTCACAGTGGCAATAGCCTCTAGTGCTATTTGTCTTTAGTGCAGTTGTGACACTTCGGCATGATCCATAATTTGGCAGCTATTTACCGTGACATTTCCCTTCAGTACAGCCATAACATTCAGTGAAGCCATTATTTGGTTCCATTTACCATATAAATTGTATTGTTGTGCATGCATGCTAGCAGCTACATTAGGTACCTGAAAATGAGTAAATCTTGTAAAATAGATACTAACAGCTCTTCAGCAGTAGGATTTCCTTGCTCCTCAGATGCAAGGGAAGAATTACATCTGCTCCCCAACTTTCCTGGAGCATCTTTAATTGCGTTCATATTTATTGAGCATGTTCGATGCACTGAAACCCAAGACTCTGCAAAATAATCTGGTGGGCTTCACCTTCAATTAGAAAGGCACTGTGGGATTTCGACTTAATGATGAAAGCAGCAGCAGCCTCCGGGCGCCGGAGGTTAAGAGGCAAGTGGATCAGCGTTGGCATGATTCGGGAGAGAAGGCACATGTCGCGCTGCTTCTCATGTGTGGTTGGTGGATGGTGTGTGCCATCAGGCAGCAGTGACAAAACCCATCTCCTTCCAGCAGAATGCTGGACATGAAACAGGAGGGTCAGTGACTGCTATTCTGTTTCCATGACCAGAGATCAGACCCTTGTTCTGTGTCTGAAAGCCTCCCATGAGAAGCAAGTGTAGTATTATGGACACTCAGTCCCTGAAAGCATGGAGCTGTGTGACCTGTGCTCCCTCATTACCATCCCCTGCGTATGCCTAAGCTGTGTCCTCCTGCAGTCCACGCTGCATCACGCAGACTTGCACCATAAACACAGCACACGCATTTCCCTTCCTGTGCACGTAAATTCTTAAAAGTCCCTTCAAACTCTGCGGTTTCCCTTTGCAGAACCTATTTTCTGTGTCTATAAGTTTTCAATATCAATTCTCTTCTCACAATAACAGAGACATTTCTCACACTGCAACACAGCTTACCAGGATGACTGTGGATGAAGCCCATCAAATAAAGGGTACTTCTGGAAGACAGGTCTGTGTTTTCGGAATCATCTAATACCAACATTGAATCTGGGGAGAATCCTGCCCAAAATGTCTAGGTACATAGCTGGTTAAGGCTCTGCAGAAAAAGGGGGGCCCTATCCTGGAGGACAGGACAGTGACAACAGTGCAGACCTGTGGCACCTCTCACTTTTGAGCTGCTCATTAGCATAAGAGCAGGCTCTCCCAGAGCTTTGTGAACTGTTTTCAAGACTGATTTTAAAATCTCATCAAGCTGAGGACATACTGATTCGATCAGGTCCTGCATCAGGAATTAATTTACTTCCCTGGAACAATAAAATCTGGAATGAGACCGTCCATGACTAAAGAATCGAATGTAAACGTTTTACCTCTGAGTATGGAGGGAACTTTTATTGGCACTTTTTTTCCCAAGGAAGGAGGGGGAGGGGGAGGGAGAGAGAGAGAGAGAGAGAGGGAAAGGGAGGGAGGGAGGAATGGAGAGATTCATTAACACCTTACTTTTGTTTTAAAAAATATTATATCTATCACAAACTAAAAATAAATGGATTTGAGTAATTCTCGGGCATAAAGTGCTCGTTTTCTTTCTCCTTTGATTTATGTCATTGTTCAGTTTTTACAGCTTACTGTTGACAGAGTGAGGTAATTCAACTACAATTTTTCCAGTATTTTTTCCCATGTACATATAATCGACAGCCCGGAATACAGAGTCCAGACCCGCAAACCTGCCCCCTGGAGAGAGGTCTCCCAGGTCCACCTCACAGACCAGGTCCCCACTGGCCTGCAGCTTAAGCAAGTGCTTCATGGCTGCCGGGTACTTGGAGAGGTAATGGTTCAGGAAGAAGCCCTGGACGCTGGCAGACTTCTTCAGCAGCTTGGCGGGCAGTGTTGCTGCTTTCACAGGCGAGAGGCCAGCAGGACTTTGGTAGCCAGAGATAAACCCGATTACTATCAAGCGCCCTCTGGTAGCCAAGGCATCTAAGGCCAAGTCAAACATGGCTCCCCCAACAGATTCATAGACCACATCCACACCATCCGGGTACTCCTGCCGCAGGACGGTTCCGAGGGGCTCGGTCTTATAGTTGACAGGGCGATCGCACCCAACAGACTTCAGAAAAGCAGACTTTTCATCAGAAGAGCACGTTCCAATTACATGGCACTTTGCCTTCTTTGAAAGCTGCACAGCAAACTGGCCCGTCCCCCCAGCTGCTGCTGTCACCAAAACTTTCTTCCCTTCTGACAGTTCTCCCAGCTCATTCAAGCTGATATATGCAGTGGTGCCACTTACCAGCAGGGTGAGGTACTCGGGTTTCACCGAGGGCACTGGAGTGGCAATGCTGGCAGGCACAACTGTGTACTCTGCAAAGGAACCAGGTGTCACGTAAGCCACGGCCTGGCCCACTGAGTGTGTGGCACTGGCAGAGAGGCCTAAGGCCACCACCTCACCAATGCCCTCGAAACCTATGTCAAAGGGGGGCTTCAACGATGGGTCATAGCGGCCAGCAGAATAGTTGATGTCAGATGCATTAATGCCAACAAATCTACAAGAAAACAAACAAGTCAATGTATTACGAGGCTTTCTTTGTTAAGATATTCCCACTCTGTTTAGAAAGAGTATCTAACTCCAGTGACTGTGGAGGGGTTGCTGGGCTAAAGGATCTCACAGAATTTAAGAAAATTCAACCCTGCTGTTCCCCTGGGGTTGGGGGGAATCAAACAAGTACTGTTCACACTGATCTGCACTCAGAGTTTGGGCGCCTTTTATTCTTTCATCAATTTAGGAATAATTTTATATCACTTTAATCAGCAAGTGATTTATTTCACATGCCATTTGCTTTTATCCCCCCCTTATTTTTCCAAAAGGAGAAGTTTAAGAAAAAAAAAAAGAGAGGAAAAAAGGGAAAAGTCAGGAAGCCCTCCACATACCAACTTCACGAGAGCTATAAGCTGGAAATTAATTGGCTTCTTTAGCAAAGATGTTAAAAACAGTGGGCTAAAACACATTCAAATAAGGGCAGATATACTGATTCTGGCAACAACTTAATCCTTCAGATAATAATAGCAATGGCAATGATATTATTAAAGGTGGTGGAGTGTACAAGGTCATGGGTTGCTACATGTTACTGCCAGGGTTGTTTGAAGAGGCTGATATTCTCTCTGGTGTAACCATATCCAGTGTGAAAATATGCATTTTGATTAACTGAACAAAAACTGGGGAAAATGATTTTTATGGAATATTCATTGTTTCACAGTCCCTCTCAAATGGAAAGGAAAGCAAATTGTCACTGTATTTCTCCCCAACAAGAAGCAGAGACATGACTTGATTAATACCAGATGATTAGTTTCACTTTGGTATCCAGAGTCAATCTAATTGCCAGGCCAGTATTTTTACCAGCTTTTTTTCCATTTGATATACCTTATAATAAAAAAATCCTGATAAACAGGGAAAAAAGCCATCTAACTAAGAATGTCAGGAGGTGGTTTTGACACATCAGGGAGGACCCTAAACATGTCATTTCCACCTGTAATGAAAAGAAAAGTGGGTAGGATCTGGTGGCAGGAAGAAAGCTGTTAAGAATGCCATCTTTAAAGAATTTCACTCTTAACTTAATAAACCAAACTGCGGTGTGAAGACCTGCTTTCACTACAAGGCAGATAATGCTCTGCACGTACAAACACTCCCTTATGACCATCCCTGGCCTAGCTACCACAGAGAAGGTGTCTACACAGTGTCCAAATGGGAAAGCGGGAAGCAGTTCCTTCCCACATGTACAGCTGCCTTCAGAGGTCAGCCCCAGCCTCGGTAATACACTGCGGAATTCCAAACCACAGAGGATGCACTACCATGACAAAAGGGAAGAACGACTTTTTGCTGGTTTCTCATTTGGCATTTAATACCAAGATGCCTACATTCTATTTTTAGAGAAGGAGGGGGGGCTGCCACGTCTTTAAATGTACTTAATTCTCAAGTCCTGGCCTTTTTGGGAAGGGCTGGCTTCCTGGGAGCTTGCTTCTGGACTTGAGAGAGGTGGCCCAGAGCACAGCCCTGCTGGAGCCTTGCCTTAGGCTGCAAAGCACGCTGCAGGGAAGGCGCCCTGAGCAGAAGCAATGGCAGGGCTCCTGCGGAGGTGGGGGACGGGGCCCAACCACCAGTTCTGTTCTCTGTGCTCCTTTGCCCAGGGTTAACTCTTCGTGTGCCCGAGACCCCTCCCGGTTGGAACCCCCTGGCGTTTTGCAGTGGTGTCTCCTCCACCAGGAACCCTGGCTTGGCTCCCTGGACGCCTAGTGGCTGCTACCCCTCTAGGGTGGCCCGGGGATCGCCCCCACCTCGGGAACCCATGCCCGGGGGCTCCGGACAGAGACGCAGCGCCCCCCTCCCCCGCCTGTGGTGGCCACTTCCCGGGAGGAGGTGGAGAGAAGCAGCAGGGCACACTCTCAGGACACGGAGCCCAGACATGCTGGACCTGGCAGCAGAGGCCCAAAGTGGAGGCGGAGTGGGGCTCCACGGGGAGCCGGCGGCAGCGCGGGTTGGCCACCGGGCTTGCCTGGAAAGCCGGCGCCACGGTCATCCCGGGCCAGCGCTGGGCGGACAGCGGCTCCGTGAGCCCTGTCGGGCTCGCCATCCCACCTGGCCAGCCCCGGGGCCCGAAGTGGGCGCTTCTGGGCCCAGGTCCCTCAGAAATGCCCGGCCACCGCTGGTGGCCGATCTGCACCAGCTGGGTCTCCCCAGCGTCCCTGCGGCTGCCGCCCAGGCCGCAGAGGAGCCTTGTTTGCCGCCTCTTTGCCCGCGCCCTCAGTCCCCGCGCGGACAAGTTCCTGGAGTCCCGAGCGGAGCTGACGCGCTGGCCAGCAGTGGTACAGACATCCCATGGACCGTGACCTTGGCCCGCAGGCACTCTGGTCCCCCATCCCTGCTGCCTTCGAAGTGGCGTCGGGGGAAGGCGGCTCAGGCTGGTGGCGAAAGCCCGCGGCTGCACGCACCACGCACCTCGCGCTCTCCGGGTCTCTGGGCCCTGGGTGTGGGGACTCCGGCTCTCGCGGGACCCCAGCTTGGACGCTGCCTGGCCGCGGCCCTAAAGGCGCCCCAGTCCTTACCTGGGCTTCGGGTAGAAGCTGCGTGAGGACGGGGAGGCTGAGCCCTTGGCTCCACCAGAAACAAGTTCAAGGGCAGCAGGCTCAGAGCGAAAGGGGGCTCGGTCCAGCCGCGGGGACGGTGAGCCACCAAGTCAGAAAGCCGGCAGGTTGGGAAGGGTGCTTGATGTGCGGGCCTTCCGGCACCTCCCTTTAATTGGAAATGTGTTTGTAAGTAGTGCGGGATTCCAGCAATCCAACGGGACGACCCACTGAAAAGACTGGAATCCAGAGAGCCCAGGAGAAGGAATGGGACCGGTGCGGGCATTCCCTAAATATATACCCTTCTAGAGTCACCCAGCTTATTTATTCTAAAATGTGCTGAACCCCTTCGTCATGTTTATTGTTAAACAAGGCAACACTGACGAGGGGGAGGGAAACGGTTTCTCTTGAACAAAAATCAAAGGCGAAGACCGGAGTCCATAATAAAACCCTGCAATACTAGGAGACAAAACAAAGTCGTTCAAACCTGACTTTCCTTAAAAAGAAAAAAAATAAGAAAGAAAGAGAAAGAATAAAAGACAAACTATAAAGGAAAGAAAGAAAAACAACTACACTGGAGAAGAAATATTTTTACCCTCCCTCGAGCAACAAACCGTTTATCAAAAAAGCTACCCCATCCCCCCACCTCCTTTCACCATTCCTACAAACTCTAGGCTCCATTATCTTACACTTGAGCCGAAAATCGTTAGAAATACTTGGAAACGGAAAAATCTGTCACCTTCTTACGAAAAAGCTAAAAATAGCACACAAACCAACTTGACATGGGTGCTAGTCCCTCTTTTCCAAGGGCTCAGCATGGAGGGGGAGGTGGGAAGTTACTAGCAACGATGACATGGTAAGGTGAGGACTGGATAAAGGAACATCAATTACCCATTCCGGAAGGATTTTATACACCCTCCTCACACCTTTCTTCAATGGTAAACTTTACTACCCTAAAGCATGTCCAGCTTATAAGTACTGCCCTCTTTTTGAATGAAGAATTTGTTTTCTACTAGATGGAATGGGATATGCAAGTGGTTCACTCAGAGCAAAAGATGGTTGGAACGCAACTAAAATCCCCAAACACCCTTCCAAATTTGGGCTTAATGCATTCATTCCAAGGTAGATTTTATTATGATAAAAATGAGAAGCACCTGCATAAATTTTTAATGCAATTAACACTGCACAGGTGAAATCTGATCTAGGATTAAAATGAACTAACCTGCACTGAATTATTAAGCCTCCATTCCTTAAAAAAAAATTGGTAAGATGCTACCTTCACTGACATGGTTTGCAAGAATAAATGCCCTTCCTAGTATGGAATAGAGTTTCCAATAGGGTAAGGAAAGAGGGAAGTAAAGATTCTGTCCTTTTCTAACTTGCAGAAAACTGGCTCTGTTTTTTTTTTTTTTTTCCTATTTTAGATTCAAGGTACAAGTCAAAGGTCAAGTTGTTCAGATAAATATACTATTTATTTTAAAGGGATTCTTGATGTATACTGTATGTGGAAGGGGAAAAAAAAGGCATGGATTTTAAAGCAACCCAAACTGATGGGCTACATACATGGGAGCCAGTGCTCCTGTGCTCAGACCACGGGCTCAGGGGTCCACATTGCCCCGACCTTGGGACCAACCCTGGTGACCCTGGACACATGGCAGCACCTGAGAGACTGCAACCTTGGGGGAGGAAAGGGAGGTGAGAGCAACCAAAAGCTTGAAGGGAGCAGAGGAGAGAAAGAAAGATTCTGAAGAGTTAACAGAGTTAACCCTAGCAGGTAGAGAGGCCGGGAGGCCTGCAGCCCAGAGCAGAGCCAAGCAGCCTCCATCATAGGGGCAGTTCCACATGACTTGTGGTTTTCCAAATTGATAACTCCCCCTGCCAGTCTTGTACTACTCTCTCCCCATTACAACCCATTTCTAAAAGGTGTTTTATTCACAGTTTTGTTCATATTAGAGTTTACAGTCTATGCTCTACAACACACAAAAAAGAAAAAAAAAAAGCTTGCGTGTAACTTTTCCTCTATTGTTTGTTTGGAAAGCTTTTAAGTCTGGTCTCAACTCAACTTCCAGCACATTACTGGTACACTCTGTATGTTCTAAGTGAACACATACTCAAACCTGTTTTTTAACTCAGCAGAGAGAATGTTCTTACTCTCAACAGCTTTAGCATTGCATCACACAATGAAGCAATCCTTTGCACCGAGGTCGACCAAAGCAGACAGCTTCAAGGAGATACATACACATGCACACACTACATGCACACAAGCAAACACCGCCCTTTAGCACTCCCTACCGACCCCCACCCCATTTCCACTCCTTGGCTCACTCAATTACTAGTTTTCAACAGGTTTCCAAAAGTTTCGAATCATGACCAGTATTCTTCATTCCTACACTCTAGTGTGGGAGGCTGATGGATTTCTAAACTGGACTGATTAAACGCTTTATGGAGCTACTTGGACCGGGTACATTTTGTCCTTCCGACCTCGCAGGGGACTTACAGAACTTCCTAGCACACAATTTACAGCCCAGTTACAGTCAGACCGAACTCCTCCTTTCAACAATATTATGCAACTTGAAAAATGCAACCATGCAACGCTGGAACCGTTCAGATGGGACTTAGCAGGCCAAAGGGCAGAGAGGACTGCAGCCTGCAAGTCGGGCAGCAAAGGGACCTAACCAACAGCACAGAGACGCGGGTGGTATGGCTCCGACACAGTGAGGACTCTTTCCTTCCTGTCTCTTCACCAGTTACTAAAGATTAGTGAGGTGGAAACACATTAAGGTGCGGAGCATGGGGGTGGAAAAGACAGAAGATCGAGTCTGCAAAACATGCGGGTAAACGCAGCCATACCCCTGGCCCAGCCCGGCCCAGCTGCCCTGGACACACGCCACGCGCCTATCCTTGCACTCAGGGGATAGACAACAGTCACACAGCACTGACAACACGCAGACGACAACGGCGAGGTACACTCAACACTCGAAAGGACAGACTCCGCCATTGCTAGACGGTTGCCAAGCTGCAGGGGACAGGAAAAGCTAACCAGTTCCTGGCCCCCTTCCTTCAAAGCACATTTACCTAAACGTCGCAGATTGTGTCCGGGTTATTCCTGCTCCACTAAAAGATATGTCAACGCAGGAACCGTGGGTTCGCGCGGGTGGGCCGGGCGGGGAGCCTCCCCTTCTGGATCTCGTCGGTTTTATTTCGGGAGCGGGAGGGGGAGGAGGGAGGGCTGCGGAGGAGGGGAGGGGAATCCCAAATTAAAATAACCCCCAGTTATGAGGACGTTCGGTGGCATCGGATATTCACACTAGCAAGTCACATTACATTCACCTTCGCCAGATGGCGGCGGGTTCAACTTCCCGGGATCTCGCAAAGTCAGGCTGTGCGCCTAAGCGCGCGCCGCAGTGTGGGCACGCGGGCGGCCCGGGACAGCCGGGAGCTGCGGCCAGGGCGGGGGCGCGCGCCGGGCTCACCGGTTCCGGACGAGGAGGTCTCCGTCCCCGGGGAGCGGCACCGGGCAGTCCCGGCGCAGGGTGACGGCCTCGCGGAAGTTGGGGCTCAGCCGAGTCACCACCAGCTTCTGCATGGCTCGGGGGATGGCGGAGCCCTGGAAGTCCAGGAAGTGGCGGGCGTACGACAAGTCCACGATGGCCCGAGCCCCGCCGTGCGCCAGCCGCAGCATAGCCCTCGCTCGCCTCCGCCCGCTCTCCGCGCTG